CAGTTTCAGCAGCGGCTGAATCTGGACGCCAGTTCCGACTTACATACAGATTCAACTTAAGAACAAACCTACAATCCCTATCTTGTACGTAACCCGGGGACTGCCTGTAATTAAAGGGGTGTCGTCAATGGAAAAAGAACTGAGTAAGTGACCTGCAAGACAGAGGAGCTGAACTTGCCTTGCTGGCTAAATGAAGAACCCTCCTACATGAAGGGGGAGGTGACTCTGTGGTTAAAGCACTAGCCTAGGCCTCAGGAAATCTTGGCTTTGCCACAGACTTCCCCTTCAGTGTCTCTGTGGCCTAGTTCCCCACCTGTAAACGGGGATAATGTTTAAATTGAAATTTCTTCCATTCCTCATAAATCTTGTTTAATTAGAATGTTAGCTCTTGGGGAGCTACTCTGTCTCTTCCTAGGTGTCTACAGCACCTGGCATAATGGGGAATCTTGGTTCTGGGCGCAAGCTAATACTGTCATACAAGAAATCCCCCAACACACCCAAATCATGCCACAGGGTGCTATACCAGAGAAACAGCAAAAGGAGTACAGCCCTCATGGGGCATGAGATATGCACAGCCTGGAGCAAGACATACAGTAACACAGGGAAACTTAAGAACATTTCAAGCACATAGAGGCTCTCTCATTTCCAGGTTCCTATTTGGGTTTTGTACACAACACAGTACAGTATCGACAGACACAAGGCTGCATGGCAACCAGCAGAGTGGTCTCTGTTTTCTTAAAAACAGCAAAGCGTGAACTCTGACAGCCGCAGAAAGAAGCAGCCAGCATCAAAACCCAGAGTACCCATACGCTTTACATTTAAAAAAAAATAGCAACAGACCATGTTTCATTTTTACAAAGCCGCTTAGATGCTGATCCAGGGTTACAACTACCTCCTAATCTAAACCCACATGGTGCCTAGTGCCTCAGAAAACTTTACCAGGATCTGCATTGTCATATTCATAGGGAAAGTCATCTGACTTTGTCCATTGTTTCAAGGAAAAAAATATTGCTGAACTATTTTAACATGTTGCAAATATTTATAGCAAAAGGCAAGAAACGTGTCCTTTCCTTCCTTCCTGCCTTCTTTCTTTGAGATTTCCACAGCAGGAAGCATGAGCGGAGCTAGAAAGAGCAACAGCTTCTTTGCAGGGTAAGAATAAAGAGCCGCAGTCAAGCTCATACACTAGCTCCTCTCTTGACGAGAAGGGTGACAGCATCCTACTCTGTTTCACTGCTAGGGTGCAACAGTACTTCCTCTACAAACCTCTGTTTGCAGAAGTTTACAAATCAGCTGTAAACATTCACTTCCAGCCATATTAGGATTTAATCATATTGGGGAATCTGACTAGATAAATGTAATCCACCGTGGGAGTGTAAGTTTGTAAAACCATTACTGCAGATACGGAGTAAGGGTCCAATCCGTACACCATAGAAACCAACAGAAAGATTCCATTTGACTTCACCAGAGCAGAATCAGGCCCCACTGAGCTCTTTAAGACCTTTTAGTGAATGTGTTAAACACTTTTGTACATAAGCTTCAGGGGGTAGCTGAGTTAGTCTGTACAGGATAAACTTAAAAAACCAACAAATAGTCTGGTAGCACTTTAAGGACTAATAAAACATGTAGATGGGATCATGAGTTTTTGTGGGCACAGCCCACTTCTTCAGATGACCAGAGTGTTGGATGTCTGGAACCAAAATAAATAGGAGAGAAGGAAGGGGGGTGGAAGAAGGAAAAAATGGGAAGGGGGGGCAAGAAGAGGCAGTGGGGTAAAAAAAATATAAAGGGAAAGTGGAGCAGGA